AGCTTTGGAGATTCTGGCTACTGTACAAGCTGAAGACTTCAGGGCAGGGATTATCTTTCTGTTCTGTGTTGGTTCAAAATTGAGTAGACCAAGACCTTTGATTCATGCCAAGGATCCAAAATGCCATTAAAATGAAATTTCAGTTTGTTAGTTCTTGGAGATAGATAGTATTCTATCATAGCAGTAGGAAGGATTTTTATTTTTTTTCTTTTTTTTTTTTCTTTTTCTTCTTTTTTGTATAAAGAAAATAATCTTGGAGAGACCTATCCATGAACCCCAATTGTGTGGCAGCCTAAGCTGAGGTTTTACTGTTGTGCTGACTAAGCCTGACTGAGGTTCACATGCATCTGTTGGATTTGTTCTTGCATAAATACCAAGCATTTCAGCAGGCAGCTTGAGGAAACAGTGCAACAGTAAGGGCAACATAAACGTAAATATTCCTAAACAAAATAATGAAGTTCTCCAGCATAAAAGTCAAGTGAAATGCAGAAGGAAAAAAACTCCATGTGACTAGTTACTTAACCTTGGCATAAGCTACTGTGTTGGTTTTGGCTGCACTGCCAGCCCCATGCCATGTCTGCACCAAAACCTTTTATGCAAGACAAGTGATAGAGGTGGACAGCGGAAATACTCCCACCGATGTGAATTCTTACGTTAGGTTTACTCAGCCAAGTGAAGTCTGTAATTACTTTTTGGGGGCATATTAACTTCTGCATAAAAAACAGCATTAAAAATATTGTGCTTATACAAATTTTGCGTCATAGTGGTCTGACAGCTTCTATTTATTTTCTCCATGCAGAGACATTGAGAGTTTGTAGATCCCACACAACCATTTAGTGTTGCCAACCAACCTCATACAGGTTGGTGCTTATGTTTGACTCATATATATTTGCTTCCCTCAACTTTTACAGCTCAGGTAGACAAACAGTGTCCCAGTGAGAGAAGGGGCTTTCAATCCCCATCTTGAACCTGTACTGCTGTGGACCAGATGTGAGTAGTGCCAAAAAGTAAATGCAGGCAGCTGTTGTGATGCCAGAAGTACCAGCATGACTGCTTTTGGCTAGGTACTTGTTTTTCATCCCTTCCTCCTCCAAATCCTCCCCAGTCTGCTTCCGTCTAGAAGAGAAGAGAGACGGAGAAATTTAAGAACATTTTCTTTTCTGTCTGTGTCTTTCTGCGCCCTTTCTTTTCCATGTCTGATTCTCCTAACTTCAGTCTAGATGAAAGCTAGAATTCTTAAGGATAGACTGGGATAAGGGAGAAAAAGAAAAAATGCAACTAATCTGAAAAGCGAGTCAGAAAAAACACAAGGTCTCATCTGAGAGGCCATCTTTTCCTGTTACGTGTTTTTACAGTGTATAGCATAACAATAGGTCCCTAAAGTCTGACCCCTGACAGCTAAACATCCTTTGTGCTGCTTCTGGTAAAAAGAAAGAAAGAAGTATATAACATCACGGTAGCTTGTGCAAGTCTCTATTTAATTACAGTGCTGCATGAAGACATTTGTTGGTGTCACATGTACTTGTGATGGTTATTATACATTCTTGACTCTTCAGGGAGTCATGCTTTCACCGGAGATTTTCACCACAGAGGTAGTGGCTTTTTCTTCTGTTTTCCTTTTTATTTCAGCAGATAATAAGCTGGTTAGACCTACTGTAATTAGCTTACTCTTCAATCAGGAAGATAAACAGTATCATGACTGTAGTGGGAGCAAGCAGGCAAGTGCCAAATACAGTGCAGGCAGAATTCACTAGCTTCTTAATTAAAACCCGTTCAGGGGATGCAGAGAGCCACACGGGCTTCAGCGAGCTGTGAATCACAGAGAAGAAAAGCAGGAACAGGAAGACTCAATAAGCAGAACTAAAGCTTCAATTACAAATAATGAATCACAGTTACAAATAATGAATCACAAAATAGGGACTATAGCAAGGGTCTTAAGTTCTTCTTCAGGAATGAAGACATGAAATCTTCTCACTAATATGTTTTAAAAAACATATCAGTACCCTTACCATCATCAGCATGTCCCGCCATCTGAAGTCCTTGGGAAAGCAGTATTTTTTCCAGAGTGGAAGTAACAGTGAGGACTATCTTTGCCAGACCCAGATCTGTGGGCAAGAGGCCTCAGAGTCCCGTATGATGCAACTGACTTCTCATAATTTTCAGAAGTTTCTACAAACACCTTCCATCACAACTATGGGCTGGTTGTCATTGTGCCAGGTGCTGTACAAACAGATTGCAAAGACTGTCCTCGCTCTTGGCATTTAGTTTATTCTTCGTAAAGCCAGAAGTGATGATATATTTTGGTCCTCTCTCGAAAAGAGTTATGAAGGCTTGACTCATGGGTGGAAAGTGCTTTAGTTGTCTTTAAGTCTAGATGGTTTATGGAAAGGAAAACCTGCTGCAGAGGAGGTGAACAGACATGGCATTACCACCTTTCCAAGGGCAGTGGGGATATAGATATTCCCACAAGATACCTTTGATCCTGGAGTGTTAGGAACGAGTGGCTTAAAATGTCACTGGGATGAATGGTGGGCTGCAGGTAATTTCTCCCAACAAATACTTAATCTCTAGGAAATGATACCTGGTTTTTTTGTTCCAAGTTAGCAAACGTACAAAGGACATAGGCCCTTTTTCAGCAGCTCTTTTCCTCCATGATGTTTTGGAAGAGTTTTTCATCTAGTAGTTCAGGTGAGTTGAGCTGTAAGGTTCTGCATCTAGATTCAGAAACAAAATTTTTGAACAAGGTACACAGTATTGAAGATGATGATTTTGTCCTGGGTTAATACCGAACACAAAATAAAATTATGGCACAAAATTAAGACATTATTCACATTCCGCTTATTTTGAGGGATCACACCAGGTTTTAGTACAGAGCAACTATCACCTATGGCAACTTCCAAATGCTTTAAAGGTTTTTTTTTTCTATATGCATATTATTTTCTACTTTGATTCAGCTCCCCACCTGTTAATTCATTAAGTCAAATGGCACCTTTCTGCTTTGCGGTTGTAAATATGTTAGAAAATTGCGCAGTAGCTTGTTACTGTTTTTCCACCAAAAAACCCCTCCTGACTTTACATTGTTCTTTGAGTCTTTTAATTAATACCAGTCTGAGTTGATTCCCATCACTGAGTGAACTTATTTGGTTAAAACTGGGAAAAAAAGAACAGATAACGTCTGCCTGAGGTCTCTTGAGTTAGTGTTTCCAATTTTCTGATTAAAAAAGGATCGGAAAGTTTCCTGTGCTTCTGTAAGAAGCGTTTTTTCCCTTGCCTATAATCCTACTAATGTACAAGGTACAAAGGTTCCCTAGCTGTGCATTACATTGCTAAGACAGAAGAGTGACTGGCCCCATCTTACATGTTCATAACGTTTTGTTCTGTCAGCATTGTGTAACACCTGGTTCATGTATGTCAACAAAATATTGCTCTGATAAGCATGTACACTCCTGTTCAGTTAATACATAGGACCTACAGGAGGTAACTAGAACTTGGGAGCCTGCCTCTGCTTGTGGCTATTGTAATCATCTAGTTCTCCAGATCCCACATTAATTTCTAGCCAGACCTATTTCCGTGTCATTTTATTCATCTTACTATATTTTATTTACAAAGATATTACAAAATATATTGTGAACTGAGTACAACTGGTAAGTACAGTGTGGATTTGGCAATGCCAGAGACAGCATGGTGAAATTATGCTGTTATGGGTTTTCGATTGTTTCAATCCATGAAAGATAGATATCAGAGGGTAAGGGATGCTGGAAACATCCAGACCTTTCCAGAGTCCAACTTGGACACAGGAGCAGGTCCAGCTAGGGACTTTCTTGGGGGTTTATTCTGGCGTTTTGCAAAACACACAGTTTTATCTCATTTGCTGTTAATTTAAATTAGGCACAATGTTGTTCTGCACTCTCTCTATTGAGAGACATAGGCAAATTATATCTGAGGTGGTCCTTGGCTTCGTGGCGCCCTGAAGTTAGGTGAGAAGAACTGGACCTAACTTAGCTGACTTGTTCAAGTTCACATCTCAGACAGACATGGCTGCAGATGCCTCACCTGGCACGCTGTCTTCATGTTTCTGCATTCAGCACACTAACACTCCTCACCTAGTTTTGTAACTTCTTGTAAGAGACTGGAGATGAAATGCTGGTGGGCAGAAATTGCTGCTGGGCTGGCTGATGATAGATGATAGTTGGTGTCCTGTTTGATCTGAATGTATACCATGCAATGCAAGGTATCACTTCTTTAGTTTCTTTCCATCTATTTTTTTGGCTGGGGCTTCTGTTCAATTCATCCTATTTATTCATATTTACACTGATGTAGTGGTCCCACATGAGACTTACGCTCCCCTTCTTCTTTCTGTCTGTTGCTTGTAAGCCCACATTGTTACAGGGATTGGATTTGTAGGTAGCAGAACCTTCTTAGCCCACTTGGGGACCTCTTAAAGTTTTTTCTCAAGGCTTCAGCAGTTTAATAGTGGGTAAGTCAGCTCGAGGTGAAGGCAAAGCTATTGCATGGACTTTCCGCAAGCTCTGTCTGGCTCCTATTGCAAAGCGGAAAAGATGGTCTTGTCTTTGGTGAGAATTGTATCAATGACGTAACACGCAAGCCAGTAGCGGCAGTGACCTATCGCTACCTTCACATGGCTCTGTGACTGTCTGTGTTTAATGCACTCAAGGTTAGATGGCCACAGGCAAAAATCAAGTGAGTGTGTCTTGATTTTTGCTTCTGCTTTAAACACAGTGTGAGGGTAGCTCTGAAAAGTGCCCTTGGGATTGGTGTCCCAGAGTCCAAAGGTCACCTCAAGGGATGAGAGAACCTCCCACATGAAGGTCCTCGTTACATCCCCACTAAAAGGAGCATGGGCATGGCACTGTTGTAACACTGTAGGCCTCGTGCCCCATACAAGAGCTCGAGACCGCCTCATGGCTGCCCATTTGTGTGCGTGAATGGCATTGGTTTCTTTTTTCTCATTCTTAAAAATGTAGTTCCTGTTTTTACTTTTAACAGTGGAGTATCTTCATGAAAGCCTTGCGAAATTCGATGTTGAAAGTGGTGTAAATAATTGGGTTGACAGCACTGTTGACATATCCAAGCCACGTAAAGGCGCTGTACATTGCTGGGGGGATGTTGCAATCGCAGTGCATATTCAGGATGTGAGTGATGAAGAATGGGAGCCAGCAGATGATGAAAACACCTAAGGGGAAGGGAAAGACTGAAAGCCGGACAAATTTAGAGACTATGAGAACAGTAAGGTTCTTTTGGGTATAAAGGAAAAATGTTTCCCTGAGGAATAAGCCTTCTGTTTGTCTGTTAAGTCTCATAGTCTATATTCCAAGTATCCAGGTACTAAAGAACTTCTTTGATGATGTAATTAGACCAGCTACATCAAAAAAATCAGGCCTTCAGAGGTGCCAGTTTTTTGCCGAGCTATGCTGCCTTTTGTGTTCTGGAAAGCCCACGAGCTAGCTCTCTTGCCCCTGCACCCAGCTGTCTTTTGGCAGTCCAAACACCCCACAGATGGACAGCTTTCTGAACCTTTTGTACAGCACTGCGAACTGTTCCTAGGTGGGAAGGAGGTAGCCTTCCTGTTGGCAGCCTCTTGCCTACTTGCCTACATATCCTCTAACATATCCAGTGAAATTATTTCTGGAGAGGCCTGGAAAAACCGTCTACACTGGACATTGAGACTGGCTAGCCTTATCCCAGGTAGCTATCGGTTTTCTGCAGAAACACAAGAGGAAGCCAATGTGCACTCTCACCAAGTACAATGGCTAGCATCTGAGTGGCTTTCTTTTCCTTCTGTTGTGACAGTTTCCTCCTGCTCACAGTCTTGAGGGAGGTCCTTGTCTTGCCATTGGGCATAGACTGGATCTCAAAGACCTTGGCTGTGTGGGGTGTTTCTTTGGCATGCCCATTCTTCTCTACTTTCCCAGGGCTATCCAAGGGTGCCTGCAGGGTTGAGTTGGTGCCCTGATTAGAAGCAACTGGCACAACCAGCTGATGGTTACTTGGTGCTGCTGGTTTGATGGTGGTTTTCTCAGCGGGACTGGTACTGGACACCATCTCCATTTCCATCTCTTCTATGTGACTCTCTGCCTCCTGGACAAGAATCAAATGTCCACAACATAAAGACAGATAAATATACAGAGAGGAGCAATGAACATTCCTTACAGAGTGAAGCTGGATGATGTTGGAGAACAATCAATCCCTCTTCTCCCTCCCTACATTTTTGGTAGATGCTTGGAGAAAGGGCTGTAAAGTGTTTACAGATAAGAATACTTTTGGGTACATGGGATTGACAGAACTGCAGTGAATGACTCTCCTTTTTTGCGCTAAGAAATGGGAGAGATGCTGTCTCCACTCCCCATAGATTTTATTTAGGTTTTCAGAATATAAATAAATCAAAACAAAATCAACAATCAAAACACAAGAAAGCCAATGCAGTCCAAGACTTAAAATAAATAACAGAGAGGAGAAGAAAATCAAAGACACAAAATGTTAAACTGCCATGGCTTTTATAGTTAGTTGATCTTTAGGCGAGCTTAGTCTGGCTTTTTGAGCTCTATGATCTTAAACCCCCTGCTTCACTCTAAGGAATGGGAAGAATATTTAAATTCTGAGATTGAATGATAACCTTTGTGCTTAGTTTATTTTTCTCCCACCCTACATAAATTCATTTTGCATCCTGAGAGGAGAGAAGGGGAAAGCTAAATGCTCTGAAAAGCTACCACTTCTCTTTAACACTCACCACTTTGCGCTTATTAACTTGGAAACTCCCATTGGACTTCACAATAACTGTGCAGAGCTTGACGTCTTCTGGATGAGTGCATTTGTCCTAAGGGGCAAGCACCAGCTCAGAGGTTACACAAGCAGATAGTAATTGGGAAGGGAAGCTGGTAAGGGAGGCACGTGGAAATACAAACACAGGGCATAAAGCAGAAACTAATCGGTGCAACTAAGGTGCTAAGAATGATGGAAAACTACTCTGAAGAAACAGTAATGGAGGCAAGTATCCCTAAGTGCTTTTCAGCAAAGGAAGGAAATCACAAAGATCTGCTTATGTTTCGGCCTATTCCCATCTTGCTGCCTCCTTTGCTTGACATGACAGTGGCCTCTGAGGCAATGCAGTTTGGGGGTAGTTCCTCTGGGGCCGTACATTCCTATTGGTTGTTTTGTGTGTGCTGCAAGTGTAGAGTTTTGACAAGCAGTCTCACACTTAACACGCTCAGGTTGACTCCACTTATGTGCATATCTCATGCTTTGAGAGGCTGTTTTTGCTACAGAGGTATCATTACCAGTGATGTAGTTTGCACCCCAGCCATGCAAACAATTTCCATTGAACTTCTTCAACACAACAGCAGGACTGACTCAAAACATAGTATAGCCTGTAGTCTTGGGTACCCAAACTCAGCAGAGCCAAAGGAAATGCAGTCTGGTTAATGAAGCAGCTCCTAATGCAGGTGATGAAACATCCCCTGAGATCCAGGGAGGCCTGTGAAGCACCAGCCAGTGACCTGATAATCCACAGTGTACAACTGGGACTCCAGAATGGCACAGGACACAGCATTCACCTTTGTGATCCACTGTTTCACCTAGTCCAGCCAGTATCATTTGGGGAAAGGAGAAAGTGCTTTGGGAAATGAAGTGGAGCAGGAAGGGGAAAGGATGGAGACTGCTGAGAGCAGGACAGAGGTCTAGTTACCTTCAGCGGGGCTTGTGTGTCTGAGTCCAGGCCGTGGCTGCTGCGCTTGGTGTTGACGCGCTTCCTGCGCTTCCGGAGCACTATGTAAATCTGCACATACACCAGCAGGGTGACAATGAAGGGAACGTAGAAGGAGACGATAGAGGAATACACAACAAAGGCAGGATTGGCAATGATGCACTCATTCTCATCTGGAAGACAAAAAGTTTCAGGCTTGTTGTCCCTGCTGCTAGGAGCTAGCACCGGCTTCCCCTTCTCTCTCCCTCTTTCAGAAGGCACAGAGATACTTAGAGAGTGAGGGGTTCGGGGTCTAGGGAGGACCACCATGTCAGCTGGAAGTGGTACCAGAACAGCAAACTCCCCTTGGGTCACAGGGAGTCACATACGGACCCAAAGTCCCTGGCTACCACTTGCCTTATAACTAAAAGCGTGCTGATCCCATGCTGTATACAATCCAGTCCTCCTGTGAAACTGATGGCTGAACAGCCAGTTCTTTTCTCTCCTGTCTCAGTGAAGCTATTTGTCCCATGACTTTCCTTTTCACATGTTTCAGTATAAGAGGGATTTTGCTTTTGTAGTGGAAGATGTTCATGTAACATTGATGAGTGTTGTGTGAACTTCTCTATAACCTCAGTCCTGATGTGTCTAAAACACTGGTTTGGAACCGAAGAGATGAAACAGATCCAGAAGAAGCTGACAGAAATAGCTGGGGATGACACCACGAGAGGACACCTGAAACAGGGACGGATACCTCCCAATAAACCTGAAACCCGATCCCCACATTTATTCCTGACTTGTAACAGAAGGCTACCTGGGGACCCAGTAAAGCCAGGAAGATGCCAATAGCCAGCTACAGGTGGCGTAACACTCACCTGTGTTGTTGAGGCCAAAGAGGAGTGGGCAGGAGATGGCAAATGAAAGCACCCAAACCACAGCAATCATGACCGTGACCCTGCGCTTCGAGCTGTAGCGGGTATTATATAGCATTGGCATTGCTACTGCTGTGTACCTGCAGTGTGAAGATACAAACCCAGTCTATTGTTATTCTGCCAGTCCTGACAAACTTTGTGGGAAATTGCACCTAGTTACTGTGTCTGAAAGCCTGGCCAAGCAAGAGAATATAGGGCAAGTAAAGTTTCACAAATCTCCAAGATGTCTGCAATCCGTGTTTTGGAAGGCACGAGGCTGGGGTCAGCTTAGCGTAGCATTTTTCTTCTGCTCTCTGAGCTACTGCCTTCCCACCGATGTCTGCTCCATCATGCAAGTATATAAACAGAAGGACTGAACTGATGGGGACATATACAGATTATTCCATTTACATTCTCAAGACCAGTGTTTCTATGTCTGCTTCTGGCAGAATCCCTGCTCAGACCTCATTTAGGTCCTCTAAATTGCTCTTCAAAAGACATCAACAGCACTAGCTCTCACCATTCTCAAGTCTCTGAGTCACAGGTAAAATTAGACCAAATAAAGAAGGCTGTGACTTGCTACCGTGGATTTGGCACAACTTGCTGCCATGGAGCCCTCACCTGTCAATGCTGATGGCACAGAGGTTGAGGATACTGGCGGTACACATCATAACATCAAGGGTTACAAAGATATCACAGTGGATCCGACTAAACCTCCACTCACCAACCACCTGCAAAGACAGAGAATAAGGTCAGTAAAAGAATTCACTGAGGATATGCTATTGAGCAGGCCTAAAGGGAGAATTCTGCACAAAGATATAGACGCTTGCTGGTAGCTGGAGTTCTGCTGGTTCAGGAGGATTCAAAATTTTGTCTACAGAAGTTCCAGCTGGAATCAGGTCACATGCAATCAGTCACATGCTGTGTCAAGTAGGATTGTTTGCCACTGAATACCTTTGAGGACTTTGTCCTGTCTAGTCTAAAGGTCTCAAATGATGGCATGGCCACAAAGGAAGTACTCTGCTCCATCCAAACCATTCTTTAGAGCATTCCTCTGAGGGCTGGTGCGATTTTGTCCTTCCTAATTCCATCCTGTTACTCTGTATTGAGTTGAGCAGCCTAAAGAGCAAACACACACCTGGGCTCATATTCCAATGACATAAGGGAGTGCAAGTCTCCTCAGTGAACTATGCAGGAGCTTAAACAGGTCTCTGAAGCATTGCAAAGAAGTATTTGGAAGGAAATACAATAATTTTGTACCCCGAGCACCTCTACTTGTACTTGCAGCTTTTTATTAGACACTTTTTTGCAATTATACCTAGCAAAGATCAGCAGTAGAGAAGCAGGAGCTTTCCTTCATTTCTTAGTTTAAAAAATCGGGGTAGAAATTCCCCACTTTTGGGGTTTTTTTTTTTTGTGTGTGAACGAAGTGAATTTAATTCAGAGTGAAAATTCTTTGACACACTACATGTTGTGTTAAAGACAAAGAACTAATGATAACACTTCCAGTTACCAGTAGCCTTTTTCTCTTCACTTACCTTGCTATTGAAACTGAACTTTGCCAATTAAGTTTAATAGCAATTATTAGGACTGCTGTATTTGACATGTGATGAAAAAAATATATTTCCCTCTAATAAAAATAGAGTCCTACTGCATTTGAAAATAGAATGAATAAGATATCTATTCTTCAGTTATTTCTGCTCTGATATACATAACCATAGGCAGCAAAAAGAAGGAAGAAAGAATGACTGCATTGAAGCCTGAGTGACAGATGAATACTCAGTGATTAAAAAAGCACTTAAAAGACAGCTACATCAGTAACTTTGATGAGAATTTGCCTAAAGGCAAAGGTTTCCAGCCAGATAGAAGCCTCTGCAAAATCAGTTTCCTGAACGCATGGTTTCGAGTTTATGGGACGTGCTGTAAACTGCAGCAGTTCTTTCTTCTGGTGCTTTCATTTATGTAGGAGAAACCTCAGAATTTTGGAGGTAGAAGATTTGTTTGCATTGAGGCTCATTTTTAAAAGGATTTGCTTTTGACATCCATTTTTGTCCGAGCTTGTGATACAAAGCCTGAAAAAAATGAAGATATTTACAGAACAAAGGGCTCTGGCCAGTTTTGATTTCAGATTGCAGACCCAGAGAGGGACCACAGTGCATGTAACTCACATCGGTCCAATGGCTCCTTCTCTGTCAGCAAGTATTTGTCATGTTTTTTTGTTGCTTCGAGCTAGCAGTAGGTTTAGAAGAGTGTGGATAAGAGCAGAAAGGGCAAAAGTAAATTAAACAAAAAGAAAAAATTATTGCTGACATGTAGAGTGCTGATTGTCCTACTTGGTAGACTAAGGAAGCTGAGGTTCCTGACCAACTCCATGCACACATTCCCCCAGAAGGGGGAAAGCATCTTGCACCATTGTGTTTTATTCTTCCACATTAAAATAAGAAGTGTCTGAGAGAGTCTTATAGCTGGGCCTAAGAGAGCAAGAGCTTCTCACAGCATAAGCCTCTGCTTAAAGTGGGTTGTCGCAAAAAAGGAATGTAATAGAAAAGCGTAACTGGTCCCCGAGGCATTGACTACAATCACAACCAGCCTGTGGTCATGTTAATAAGCTTTAGCAGATGCATGATGCTTTACACTTTTAAAGTGCCATGAAAACAATAATTAACTAGAGTGATAATTAGTATTGTGGTTTCTCGACAGTCTATGTCATGTCAGTGGGTTTGTTTTCCTTTGCATTAATGCTTAATGGGCTAATTGATTATGGCTTCTTCCCCTGCTCTCCTCTCCATTTTATAATATTCTCTCATAAACTAGCACCTGAAAATTAATTGTAAACTCAATATAGTTTCAGACTCATGCTTTCTCATCACCGTTCACTCTCTCTTGGTTGTGATTGCCGCTGGCATGCCAGCTCTCAGCTGACTGAAGAACACGAGCATCCCAGCGAAGGGGGTCAAGAGAGAGGGGCTGTGTATCTTCTCTTATTCTTTCATCTAGAGATGCATTTCATTCTTCCAGGCTATTTACTGTTGCAAGAGTCATTTGCCATCTAATAAACAGGTGGCAGTCTTGGGAGTATTTCACGTTCACAAACCACAGTGCCACTCAAATATGGCTTTGTACGCAGAAGCGCAGAGCTCTTTAGTACAAATGTGATGTGCTAACGGCAGCAATGTGAAAAGTAACTCACTTGTGATTCTATTTCTCTCATATATTGTGACATAAAAGCTCCAGATTTGCATACTACTTCTACAATTGCCTGTTCTTCTTACTACTGTAGTCCTTCAGAAATAGGGCTTTGATTACTATTTGATGCCATTTATTAGTGTGACACCCATGATGTTGTTGCAGACTCATCCTTGTGCTTGGGAATGAACAGTTCATCTATGCAGTTTTGAAAACAAAATTGGAGTCCTTTCGCTCTTGACCCCTCTATTTAAAGGCCACATTTTCAATGCAATTCAGTTGTAATTTAGCCCTCTGAACAGCAGTGTATTTTCAAGTCAGCCTGTCATCTGCTATCGTGTCCATTTCCTGGAAAAATCTGACCAACTGTTAAGAAATTAAAAACACATTTGTTTTGGGAAATTCAGGAGGTCTTGAAATAGCTGATGTCCCTGCTGCTAAACTTCCATCTCTCTAACCATTCACCAGAAACATTCAGTACTGCAAAAGAAACCTGGGTCACCTACCTCCAGATAGACCACCCAAGGCATGACCAGAGTTGCTACCAAGAGATCTGCCACTGCCAAACTCACGATCAGGTAATTAGTGGTAGTCTGAAGGGCTTTTTCCCTGGACACAGCCATACACACCAGCACATTGCCAAAAACAATGACAAAGATGAGGAGGGTGAGCAGCATGGCATAGTAGTTATACTGAGGCTTCTGGTCTGCACTGGACTCGTTGAGTGGCTTGCTCCAGTTCCTGTCACCGATGTCACCGTTGTACCAAGAGAGGTTTAGGGGATCCATGGATGTAAAAGTGCCAGGTTCCAGCTCCACCCTGACACAAAGATGTTGAAAAGACAGTCAAAGGCCAACATGTAAAATAAAAATAAAACAATTACAGATGTGCTACCTCACTCTTTGGATTCTCTGGAGCCTGTTCCCCTTACCCTGAATTTCTGTGTGCAAATGGTTGACTGACTGGAAATGCGATGAAGACCCAGATTGGAGGCTGAATTGATCGTCAGATACCTAGGCAGGGATTCAAGAAGTTCATTTCTATGTCCAGTTCATCGCCCAGATTTCTGTGGCCAGGGATATTAGTTACTCTGCGTTACAGCCGATTCAGGCAGAGTGCCTGGGATTTTTGTGTTGGCTCCCCTGACATTCCCTAACCACTAACTGCTCCGTGTTAGGTGCGCGCAGTTCAGGGCAGATGTGCCATGACCCACTGTGTTTATTTTTCATGTGATTCATGGGGCTTTGGGCTGTGGGTTTTTTTCTTTTTCTTTGCTTTTCCTTATTTTTTTCCTCCAGTGGGGAAACAAATAAATAAATAAACCTGTGAACTGAATTGTAATGATAATGAAACTTGGCAGTGGCAGTTTTGAAGTCAGGGCTGGACTGCGCCTGCCTTCTGCCATTCCCCCGGTGAGGTTGCACTGCAAAGGGGAAAATGGTGGGAGCATGACCAGGTGCCATCCCACAGCGCAGTCTCTGCAGCTCCTAGCGCTGGGAAGACAGGTCTCCTTGGAAATCTGTGGCATCACGGCAAACTATCATTTCTTCCCTGGCCAATGGCCACGTGCTGTGCACTCTTTCAAAGGTAACATTTAAACAAATCATGGCTTTTGCTGTAGAGTTCCCTAGAACATATTTGGGGTTTTGTGTTTGTTTTATGCAAGCATAGCAAAGGCAACTGCAAATGACTCCTAGTCTTTTGGACTTCTTCTGTCTCTCAGGGCTGCCTCTGTGCTCTGCTTCCTTAGCTGGGCCATTTTTGGCACACAGTAAGGAGGTTGTCACTGAGAGGCCTTCCTTTGGTTTCCACTGGCTATGGATCAGGTCCCAGGCTTACAAGCATTTTTTATGGATGAAGAGTAAGAAGAATGAAAATTAACAGAACAGAGAAGAGGAAACAATATTCTGAAGAAATGGTGTTGTCTGGATATAGAGGTTTGGGAGTTATCAGCTGCAAATGCAGACAGCAAAAAGCTACTCTCTCTTGAGGAAGATATATAAACAAAGCTAAGTGTGGGATGTGGTGTGTGAAGGGAAGGTCATGGTTTCTGGTCTGACGATACACTACAGTAGAATTGATAGCTCTTAGGCCATATTTCTGTATGGTGCAGGCTAGTGAAGGTGCATGAATGTCCACGAGGCTATATGGATTTTTATGCCAGCAGTTGATGCAAAGCAGTGATATCGGGACTGTGCATACCCCTAGATTGTTGGCATCCAACTGCACATATGTCCACATTGTAAGAAACTGGCTAAAAGTTAAGCTACATCATGCAGACAGACCTTGGCAGCAGGTGTCTGTGTTGGGGTCTTTGGTGCCAGCATATGAAAAACAGAAATTCCACATTTGCAGTGAGACTGCAGTGTATTTGGCCACTGGCTCTGGCATACTGGAAAGACTTTTTCCTGGCTGTGTTGTGAGGTTCTTTTGGCTCTCATTTAGGTGGGCTCACTTAAGATGTCCCAGGGCAGGATCTGTGCAGTGGGTGATTGTGATGGTTGGCACCATCTTCTGGGTATTTCCACACCATGTCTGGGTCCTGCTGGAGTTTCTACAGACTTAGAAAAAGAAGGGATTTCCACGCAATGTGTGTTTGCTGAAGCAGTACGGGCTAAAACATGGGTATTGCCTCAGTCTGCAAATCATCCCAGTCCTCTGCATAACTGAGCCAGTAGTACAGGCAGAACTGGACATGCTCAGATCTGGCTGATGTGCACCTGAGTCTGCCTTTCAGAGAGCCACAAAGGCCACAAGGAGAGGAACACTGAGCTGAATTTCACTGTATGAGCTAATAGGTTCCCTGAGCTCACCAGAAGCACTAATGCCACATGCTCCAGGGACAAGCAAGTGGAGCAGTCTGATCGTAATAACACGGCTCTGGTGTACAGCAGAGGCAGACAAATGCTAACATCAAGTCATAGCTGTACCATTGACCAAGGTGAAACACAGCTCTGTCCCATTTGTTGAAACAGAGCTTCTTTGTCAACTGGTAAATTAGTACAGTGAGGCCAGCAAAAATAGAGTTGTCATACCTGAACTGCCACCCACAGCTGCAGCGGGTCTCTGGAATGGCATTAATCCACTTTGATCATTTCAGCCCCTTGCCAGGTTTGCTTGTGTGTTTAAAAGCAAAGCATCGAGGTCTGTACCTGGGTCCGAAGTAGTCACTACATCAAGAAATGGTGACATGTCAGAGACCATGATCAAAGACTAAAGGCAAGATGTGTTTAAAAGCAACTGGAGATTTTGGCTACTTTGGTTTGGGCGTTCCTGGTTTGAGAGATCTTGAAGGGACCTCATTCACTGCTCAGCACTTCCTAAAATCAAGTATTCTATGATTCTCAAGGTGTATCTCCACAAAGACCACTGTGATTTGAAGATCTGGCCATGTTCTCAGACATCCCAAAACAGGCCATTTAATTTTCTTAATAAAAGACAAAGTGAATTCAATTTATTAAACCATGTAAGTGATCAAAATAGCAAAACATTTGCAAATATCAAATTCACCTGGGAACAATGGTTTCTTTATGTTTCACTGAGCTTTTGTGTGCTTTTCTCATTCAAAGAACAATTTGTATAATAATCCTTGGAAATGTGTTGCATGTGGGTCCTTAATAGCTGATAATTCAAAAAGTGTCTGTCTGACAGTGCTATCAGCGGCACTTGATAGCTCTACAAATGTCTTCTTAGAAACTGTCAAAGTGTCAGAAATTAATTAAATGTTAGCTTATGTGACTCAGAGTGAAGGGGAAAAATCAATGCTAAATGCAGCAACAGTTTTTTCTTTTCTCCTGTTGCCCTTTGATAATGCAAAACTATCTAGAGAAGGCAGAAACATGCATAAAATGCAGGATGAGAAAAAGCAGGAACATAGAAAAGTATCTTAAAAGTATAAAAGAAGTGGAATGATTTGATATGTGCAGGATCAGCCCCTTGGTCCTACCTGGCTCGTGAGCTCTGACTGCAGTTCAGAAAACAGAATTGTGCTTCATGGAGGAAAGGCCAGAGATGAGGGTGAGTTATGTGCACAGTAATTCTAGCCCTGCTCGTTTTACGGGCCGTTGCAACTCAGCGGCAGATTTGGAGGAACCATACGCAGCTAATCTCTCATGTCCATCTATTGGGCATTTACTTGATGGGGGTTAGGGAGGATATAGAAGGCCCTGGATAAAGTGAGCAAATATTCTCTTCCATTTCCCTCTGCAGCTTCTGCAAGATTTTTTTTTTTTTTTTCCTTTCAGTAGAACTTTTTTTACAGCAATAACACCTGTCTTTTCATGCAGCTGGTCATCATGTGGAAAGTTAAAAGATTATGTTTGAATGTTGTACAAATGAAAAGGTCTGGTGTTTCTATTGTAAAAATAAAGTTTTAATTTGGGAAAATGAAACACGAAAAAAGTTCCAAATGTTTTGTATGAAATAGGGAAACTAAAACAGTGTAATTTGTCATCATGCAATTAAAGGGTCTATCTAGTATATATCCATATGGTACAAAACTACAATTACACAGACAGCTCTGTTACTTCCTAAATTTTGAGAGATTGGGATTTCAGCCCTAAAAATAATCTTAATTTCTCCAGACACAGAACTGGCATCATTTGGAAGCATTATTGTGGCCATTACAGTGTCTTGTAAGTCTTTCAGTACTGCTTTAAGGAGCACTTTTTCTTTTACTGTTGACAGTTTCTCAGTAGAGAAGCAGCACTTTAAAAAGCTGACTAGAAAAGAGAGTGCTTTTTACTGCGTTTGTCCAGGCACCTGCATTTTCACATGGAGGCAGAGGGAAGGGATCACAAATACAGAGAAAAGGTAGTACAAATGGCACCTCGCCATGCACTGTCCTTGTGGGACCTTGCCAAGTTTCAGTTTCCCTGTACACCACCACCAGAGGCAAAGAGAGTCTCAGTTTTAGCTGAGACTTTGGATGCAGTGTGGGTAGAGTCCTGAAATGGAACAAATTCCTTTGTGACTTAACTGCAGTAAAGCCACTTTAATTCCCATACAGAGTCCGCACTGATTTTTGGTATGGCTGAGCTAATCCAGATATGGATTTACTGAGAGGTCAAGGGCAGGACAGAGCAGCAAGGTTGCAGCCTTGTGTTTGCTGCCAGCAGCGCAGCATGCCTGCACCGCACAGAGCATCTCTGCGGCTTTCCCCTTGCGTTGAGCCCGGCGTACACCCGGGCGTGTGCTAATCCCCTCTACATTAACTTCCTCGAGTGTGCCTGTTCAAACGTAGCCTAACTGGGAAGTAGTTTGCCATCCGAGGAAAACAGCCTCTCTCAACAAGTTCCCATGCTTTCCAGATGTCTTTCAGCAACTGGTGGAAATCCGCTGTCTGGCTGCTACTCCCTGCTGGAAACGACAGGGACAAGGGAGCCAGGACAGAGGCTGTAAATGCAGAGCCAGAGCTTTTCTCTCCTTTGTAGTTAACTCCCTGTTCTTCTCAGAGAGAAAACTGAAAAATATGTTGGTTTGCAATGCTGGCATTTCTCCTTAGCTCCTCGTGATTGATCATCTAATTACCTTTGTGACAAACTAGCACGACATCTCCCTGGCAAATGTGCAATGTTCACAACCGGCAGCAACAAAACCATTTATCTTTCTTGCAAGATCTGAAACATGAAATGTGTATTAAGCAGAGAAGCAGAGTTTGCTCTATCATATAGAGATAGATGCACCAGACACCTCACTGGGAATCAGGGGGTAAAAGGCTCCAGCAGAAACTCATACCTACAGCTTGCTTGCATTCAGGTAGTATCCTGGGTCTATCCTCTGCTCTTCTTAGTTCTGCGCTAGGGCAGAGA